GGAAATTGTCTCTCCGGTGCTTCCGATCCACATGTGGCTTGAGGATCTGCAGTGATGGAAAGACAGTTAATCTTGCAGGAACGCCTGGCATGCAGAAGGAGCCTGTGGCTTCAGAGAGGGAATTCTGGTGATACTTACTTCTCCAGATCGCTTTGGATTTGACTTGGGTCCAGTAGATGTCGTGTGATTGGGCAACAGTTGCCCTGATTTAGCCGGAAGAGAAATAATTGCAGTTAGAATTTCTGAAGACCTTCGAATAAGGCTGAGAATCTCCCATTGTGTTAAATCCTGTGTTTTCTTAACTTGGGCCATTTTAAGATGTGTGGACTTCGCCTCCCAGAATTCCTCAGCCAGTATGGCTGGCTGGGGAATTCTGGGAGCTAGAGTCCACGCAACTTAAATCGGTCCAAATTGAGGAACACTGTGATAGTTAATTCCTTGGTGTTGTAATATCCCGCTAAAGGTTATAACAGTTCCAGTTTATAGAACTGGAGGGTTTCAGGTTAGAGAAGGGCAGGATTAATTTTCAAGGGAATTCAATAATTTTCCATGATACTTATAAAATCCCACCATCCTACCCCTTGCAGAATTAATTGCAAAGCATGCAGAGTGGGTGAATATTTTCCAGGAATTATAACTCCTTGGCTCACCTGAAGTGATCTCTGTTCTCATGAAACATCAACAATCCATTTAAAGAAGCACATATAATACTCACACAAAGTTCGACGCACATATAATACTTACACAAAGATAAGTACAGGGGGACAGTGCGAGGGAGGTGGAAGCCAGGAGTAGATCTGGCTCCTTTTTAAATTGGTGTTGGAATGAGTAATGGCCCCTTGAGGATTTCCAGAGCACTGCCAAATAAATAAAATAAATAAATAAGCGCCAAAGCTACTTCAAGTTAATTCTGTTTAAAACAGAATTACTTGTATTTTTACAACAGCCTTGCTATTTTTCGTCTCAGTTTTGTGTCTTCGCACAGCATAGCTGAACTGCAATGTGCATTGCATGCACAATCTTCAAGACTTCAAGTCCTATGGAAGTGATTACTTTCTCTAGCACATTTTGCTTCAATATGCCTTTCTGAATTCAACACCCATGAAGTGGAAGCCATGGTTTACTCACCCTAGGATTGGGATCTTCCAAGAATGCGCTGACCTGAAGTTAAACGAGCAACATGCAGGCCCAGCGTAACATGAGAAAGTGAGCTACGATTTGTATAGTTTGTGCTACACAATTTTGGGGTGTGGGTTTATGTGGATAATAGCAATAGCTCTTAGACTCATATACTGCCCCATAGTGCTTTACAGCCCTCTCTAAGCAGTTTACAGAGTCGGCACCTTGCCCCCCAACAATCTGGATCATCATTTTACTGACCTCAGAAGGATGGAACTTGTGGCTACTCCAACACGGAGTTTTTAAGAAGAGATTGGACAACCGTTTGTCTGAAATGGTATAGGTTTTCCTGCTTGAGCAGAGGGTTGGAATAGAAGACCTCCAAGGTCCCTTCTAACTCTTGTTATTCTGAGTCAAGCTTGAACTGATCAGGATCAAACTCTCGGCAGTGGACAGAGTTAGCCTGCAATACTGCATTCTAACCAGTGCCCCACTACAGGTAAAGGTGAGTTCAAACAGACCTGGGGATGTTATGTCACTCGCTGTTTGCTTGCAGGCAAGAACTGGTGGACCACAAACTAGACAAGTCACAGGCCACAGAGACACGGAAGAGCTCTGGGACTTCAAACGGACAAATATGTGACACATCACCCTCCAGACCTAACTATTTGTGCTTACCTGTAAAAATCTGGTATTGTTTGGGGGACTTTGCCAAAATCCGAGGGCTGCAGGAGACTGAAATGAACGCACCTCCAACAACAATCCTTGATAAGCCGCTCCACGGATCTGTACTGGAGAGAACAAACCTCCTTTTCTGCTCCTGTAAACCAGCAAACCTTGTTTTCCAAACATTAGGGGGAAAAAAACTTCCAAGTGTATGTATTGTGTGGAGAATTAACGGCTTAATCACGGGTTAATGAATAAACCAAAGTTGGCTGGATTCACCCACTTTGCTAAGCATTTAGCTATGAAACTCAAAAGCGAGTCCACACAATCCACTTATTCAAAACTATACAAAACGGGCTTTGGATGATCAGGACAACTGCTGACTTCTATGATACACACATTAGGGCTTTTTGGGGAGAAGGGGCAATAATGTGGAAATAGATTATTATCTTTATTTCCTGGAATTTATCCACTTCTCATTGCCTACAATCCTGACATTTCATGACCTCACATCTAATCTGGCCAAAATTTGGCTGCTGTTGATTTTTGCTAACCTAAAAACCCAATGATTTTTGATGCTGAGAAAACATAAGTATACTTGGAAAAGAGGAGAGAAGAGAGAAAAGAAAGATTTGTGTGTGTGGGGGGGGCCTTTAACAGTATCTTCTTTTCAATTGAAATAAACAAAATACAAACTTACCATTAACCAGCTGCCCATTTTGGAAGGAAGGTGTACTAACCGAAACTTCATAGGGACTAGGAACTGTTTGAGGCTGTACCCCAATATGGACAGGCAACATGCTCTCGCAGGCAGATTCAGGGGCTCCATCCGGAAAGGCTTTATTGGAGGCAAATATAGTCCAGAAAGCGATAATGGCACCCAAAAAGCAATTCCCACAAGCCATGTGTAGAAAAAAGACTTGCTAGCTCAATCTCTTACAAAAGCAAGTATGGATTTTCCTAGCTCAGAAAGAAAGCTTTAAAAAGAGGGTCATTACTCCAGAACAGATTCATTTTCTACCCCTGAGGAACGGGAAATTCACGTGTCTCTGCTGAGATCTGAGGAAAGAAAGAATCTCTTTTTTTTCCAAAAATCAGCCTAGAAAGCCAATCGGTGCAAAACAAATTTAAGCTTGGAAATTGATTAAATCTGAAAGTTGGATTTCCTGTCAGATGAGGCGGGGGGGGGGAGGGATGGATGGAAGAGAAGGATAATGGTATCCCAAAGATGTTTTTTTCACGAGGCAACTGGACTTTCTTGTTTTTCTTTGAAGACGTTTCGCTTCTCATCCAAGAAGCATCTTCAGCTCTGACCGGATGGTGGGGGAATGGCTGAGCTGAGGAAGCTTCTGGGATGAGAAGAGAAACGTCTTCAAAGAAAAACAAGAAAGTCCAGTTGCTTCGTGAAAAAAGCGTCTTTGGGATAACTATGATCTGGATGATCGAGAATCTTCGTAGGTAATGGTGGTGAATGAGTATTCTACTTTTTAAGCATTTTTATGGCTGTCCTATTCAGTGCGACTCAGGGCAACGGACAACAAAACAGTCAACGAAAAAGCTTACAGAATTAAACAGCACACACCAATAAAATGTGCAAAGCAGTACATTTAATTGACACCCCCCCTCTTGGTAGCATTCATCTCTTAATCTCACGTGGTGGAACATTCCCATGTGCCTGATCCTGCCCCAAAGACCTCCTGCTCTTTTAGCACTTTTCCTTTAAGCCTGATGGAATGTCTGAACATCAATGCCACGGAATTATTGGCTGGACGTTGTGGGTTGCCTAAGTGATTCTTGTGAGCAAACACTTTGCAAGTCTGCAGCCGGAAGCTTGATCAACCTTGGAAACTTGCATTTTTTTCCCCCTAGAGCAAAGAAGGTTGGTTTTGTCACAAGATCAAAGCAGCCAGAAAGTGCTTTTTTTTTTTTTAAAGCAGGTAGCCAAATTCCAAAGCCTCTTGGCTGGGTGACAGATTCATTGGATGTTCCTGAGTTGTTTCTTCCAAACAGTGGCTTGCTTTTCATAGCGGTGGAGCAAGCAGGAAATAGGGAGGTCAAAGAACACAACATTCGTGCGTTGTTGCATTTTCCTTGCACGCATGACTATTTCTCAAGGACAATGCAAAAGGTGGCCATGTATTGCAAGATGGAAGGTGGGAATAAGCAAGGATTGGGGTGTGTTTTTTTTGCAGCACTGCTATCATGCAGGCAGTATGCAAGAGTGATACAAGGCATGGTTTGTATGCAAAATAAAAGAGTTGGAAGGGACCTTGGAGGTCTTCTAGTCCAACTCCCTGCTCATGCAGGAAACTCTATACCATTTCAGCCAAATGGCTGTCCAATTTCTTCTTAAAAGCCTGCAGTGATGGAGCACCCACAACTTTTGGAGACAAGTCGTTCCACTGGTTAATTGTTCTTGCTGTCAGGAAGTTTCTCCTTAGTTCTAGGTTGCTTCTCTCTTTGGTTAGTTTCCATCCGTTGCTTCTTGTCCTGCCTTCCGGTGCTTTGGAGAATAGCTTGACTCCCTCTTCTTTGTGGCAGCCCCTGAGATATTGGAACACTGCTGTCATGTCACCCTTGGTCCTTCTTTTCATGAAACTAGAACATAGCTAATTCTTGCAATGGTTTTTATGATTTACCCCCCAAAACATTTGGTGTTTAGTCCTTGGCATCTTCTGATAGGAGGAGAACAAGGGCCTGCTTCAAACAATGGGGAGGTATGGGAGTTTACCTTGGTGACCTGCAGGAACCGTGGTGGCGCAGGGGTTAGAATGCAGTATTGCAGACTAATTCTGCCGACTGTCAGGAGTTCGATCCTGACCGGTTCAAGGTTGACTCAGCCTTCCATCCTTCCAGCCCGGTCAAATGAGGACCCAGGTTGTTTGGGGGCAAGATATTGACTCTGTAAACCACTTACAGAGGGCTGTAAAGCAGCATGAAGTGGTATACAAGTCTAAGTGCTATTGCTATCTTTCCCATAATCAGGAAGAATTAGACCAATGATGGTTTACCATTAGCTGAGTTAGCTTTCCACAGCAAAAAAGTCAAAAAATCTTCTGTTACCTTACAAAGTGGCAGATGTATCATTCCCTAAGCTTTCATTATTGTTGTGAAGTACAGTACATTAGAGTTGAATCAGGCACAGGGGTCGAGGATTTGCCTACAACCCAGATATAACTTTCCCCAGATTGTTTCTTTAGATTCTATCCAATTTTTTTCCCCATCTTCTACAAGCGGAAGAAATAAAGGACCATGTCGTTGGAAGAGAAATATATAGCAGTTATGGAGGAGGAGGAAGAGGAGAAGGAGGAAGAGGAAGACATCCAGGAGGCAGCAGCCTTGGTTGTTAGCGGGGTGATTAAAGATGCCGTGGACAGAATTAAAGCCCTGAAGAAGGAAGAGGCAGGTACTCCAGTGTGGAAGAGAAGCTGCCAGGCCACTGGTGTCCAATTTGAATCAGACTCTAATTTCTACTCTTCTCATCAACTTCAGGCGCCAAATACAAAATACCAAATATTGCTTGGATGAGGTGCAAGGATTTCTCCATCGGAAGAGGCCTGTTGCAGATTGAGGACTATATGAAGGTAAGCGTCATGTTCAGTGTTCCTTGGCATCTTGTGTGCCAAGGCAATGTGACGCATGGCTGGGAGGGTCAACTAGGCTTAGACCAGGGGTCCCCAACCTCGGCCACTTTATGACTTGTTTTTAAGAAGAGACTGGACAGCCATTTGTCTGAAATAGTATAGGGTGTCCTGCTGGAGCAGTGGGTTGGGCTAGAGGACCTCCGAGATCCCTTCCGTTATCCTGTTAAAGGCTACCTGTAAACTCCAGAATAGTAAAACAAAGTAAAACGTAGCAGGCTTTTTTCAAACAGGTGCTTGTAACGGGACTGTGTATTCATCCTTGCAGACATGGGAACTTTATGAAAGTTGGCTACACTGGAGCAATTATCTCAACAACGAGGAACTCCGGTATAGCACCAGGTATTATTACCGAGTCCGTTGGAGCATCCCGACATGCAGGAAGCCCATCCCTCGAGCAACAGCGTGTGTCTATTTTGCCATTGAGATTTCCAAAATCAAGCCCAGAGTGAGTATTTTGAGGTCCTCTTGGGAGACAATTAAGCCCAATCACGTTAAGGATGCTCTTTAGAGTTCTCTAACATCCATGATCTGTAGGGGTCCTTGGTTCCACCAAGACCACTCCCACCAACACGGACAGAGCAAGCTGTTAGGACAGAAACGGAGACCAAACCCCACGCCCTTCTAGGACTGATGATGTTACCTAGTTTGGTAATGAAACGTCTGCAAGGAAACCCTGAGCTACAAATATTCTCTTTGATCCTTAATCCATGATCTGTTGTTATCAGCCGCTTTTAAGAATCTGATCACACCCAGAGAAGAGGAACTACTGGCCCTCTGAACTGTCCTTGACTTACAACCAATCATTTAGTGATTGTTGGAAGTTAAAACTAGCACAGAAAAATGTGACTTATGACTGGTCCTTACATTGATGTCCGCTGCAACATCACGGCAGTCGTAATCTAAATTTGGGAGCTTGGCAACCAACCGTTATTTGTGATAGTTAGCCATCTGTGACCTTCCTAGCTGACAAGAAGGAAATGCATGCTATTAATTTTAGGTATAACTAATATACATAAATTACCATGTTTCCCCAAAAGTAAGACTGGGTCTTATATTAATTTTTGCTCCAAAAGATGCATTAGGATTTATTTTCCAGTTAGGGCTTATATTCAGTCATAAATGCATCTGTCTGGCTGACAACCTTAACTTGGGCTTATTTTGGGGGAGGGGCTTATATTACAAGCATCCTGAAAAATCATACTAGGGCTTATTATTTTGGTTGGGTCTTATTTTTGGGGAAATACGATATAACAGCTATAGTGGTGGCATCTTGAAGACTTAGCCATTTATACTTTCATGAATCCTCTCGCTTAGCTGCCCGTTCATCCAAAATCTATTTGAGTAGCTCAACGAGACAACTTGGAAGAAACCAGAAACTGTAAAAATTTAGAAATCAGGAAGCACGGAAAAATGGATACAAGAGTTGTAATTTAATGGAATTCCATCCAGGATTCCTGTTAGAAGTTGAATATTATTGTTAGGTTCAATTCTTGGGAGTACGCACTGTCTTTTTTTTTTTTTCTGGAATGTCTCTACTTTCATGAGAACCGTCAAGTAGGCCACCGTCATGCATAAAACTAACTATTGGTTTTCTATCCGATACAGACGCTGCCAATTGACGTGTTCTTTGTGGTGGAAACCAATAAGCTCATTCACAGGTAACTTTCCCATCCCTCAATCAACTGGTTTGCACGTCTGGGCTCCCACATTGCCATAAGAGCTATTTGTATTAGGTAACCTTTGGGGTAAAATATGAAAAAAAGTGTGAGTGCAAAATGCTCAGGCTGTTTTTCTATTTGCAGGCCGGGAAAAACTCGCTTTAAGGAAAAGTGGCTCAAGGATGTCATTGAAAGTAAGATCGTCATGATGGAGACTGTGGATTTTTAGTTCTGCTGGAATGGCTAGAAATTAAAATCTCTTTAAGACACCCCGTTTTTGTTTTTTGGGTAATAAAATCCACGGCTTGCTGTAATCAGACCCTTGTTTTGATCTCTCTGTGCAATTCATGTCAAGGAAATGCAGGAAGAAAAACTTTAACCAAATTGTCTGTGGTCATCCAGGTCATGGTTGTCCCAAAGGTGCTTTTTGAAAAGGCACCAGAACTGAAGAAGCTTCTTGGATGAGAAGCGAAACATCTTCAAGCAAAAACAAAGTCCAGTTGCCTTTTCAAAAAGCACTTTGGGGTTTAACCAAACTGCACACGTAAGCAGTTTTAAGGCCCTTAAATCGGACATTTGCAGCAAAAGATGGGAGAGATTACACCCGCCGAGTGTCTTTATTTAATGCGACATAAATAAATCGACTTTTCCCAACCGGAGATCTTCCTAAAGTGTGAGAAGGCAAGTCTCAAAATTCCAACTAATATGGGCAAAAGCGAGAAGAGAAAGGGAGGCTGATCTACAAAAGCCAGGATCACAATTCTTTTGGAGTTTTTTCTTTATGCAGGTCTCAAGAATATTGGACTTTGATTCAAGAGCAGTCTGTGGGGTCTCTATCTCAAATGTATTAAATCAACTGGACTGCAAAAGGGTGGGGGGGGTCATTTCTGCTTCTGCTCGAAGGTATTTCAAAGAATGACCTTGAATGACTTCAAAGACTTGAGAGTCACTGGAGTTGAGAAGTCTGAGAAAACCCCTGTTCGAATCCACCTCCAAGTTTATGGAAAGTCAGAGGGTGACCTTGTCCTTCTCTTGGTCTGGATCTGCCTCTCATGGCTATTGAGAGGATAGGTGGGCTCTGTACATAACCTCGAGCTCCAAGAAAAGGTGGATAGACATCTACTGAACAAATCTCAAAAAGCAACACACAGCCAACTATACATAGGAGGATGTTTAATTTTAAAAATACAGTTTATGAGTGGTGTACCATACTGGAACTGTGCCAAAAAAACAAAACAAAACAAAACAAAAAAAGACCGTCCAGAATGCAGTCAATAAAAGCTGTCCTTGATACTGGGGTGCATTTACATTGGGATTTCTTTTCTTCCTAGTTTCAAAATGTAGCTCCAGATATGCTTCTAAAGTTTATGGTGCACTAAAAAATTTAAAAAGGGAACAGAAACTCACCCCCCCTCCCCAGTAGGTGGCAGTTGGCACATGGAACTATGAATTCCAATCCACATATTTTATTTAGGCTGTAGATGAAGCCATTGAAGAAACGTAAAGGTTAAAAAAAACTTATTCAGATGGATATTTATCTCCTCTGCGTTGCTAAAAAAAACTATTTACACTTAATCGAGCGAGAAATATATTGATGATCCTCAAAGCATTCTCTTTTGCAAAATTATGAGCTAGACTTTAACATAGTACTAAATCTGCAAAGAATCTCAAAATGACAGATTTACTGATCCTATTTACAAGGAGGAGACGACCCACGCTTTTGACAGTCTGAGCCACAAAACGAGATTACAATTTTTCCCTGTTTTAACAATCCACTCCTATTTGTGTGTCTGTTCGAGGCAGGAAGCTTATAAAGGCAACTGTCAACATTAAAGCTATTTCTGCCTTTTGGGTGCACAGAGTTAGGCCCAGGGTATGTTCTGGCCATTTTTCACAAAATACACTCATCCTACAAGAGATCTTCTTGTTCCGTTCCGGACTTAATATTTTCTTCTTGTCAAAGTCGATAGAAAACAGACTTTACTGAACCCCTATTGATGGAAGTTTTTGCCTCAGCTGATTTTTTTTTTAAAGTGCTATTTTCTCAAACACAAAAAAGCAACAGTATCCCAGTAGCTTTTTGGCATTGTGGTGGTGCTGACTGGCCTGCTTTGGTTTCCCTGCCTTGGGTTGCAAGTTGGATAGATCCTGCAAGTTAGTTCCAAGACCTCACCAGGCCAATTAGGGTTCTTGGCTGGATATCTATGGACTGTTTCCCCCAAAATTTCCTATGGCACAAGCCAATGTCAGGACCCACCCGTTTGCCCGTCACTCGGGAGGATACGTCGTTCATTTCTCATCTTTGCCCTTCGTTTTTCGGTAGACCATTTCCCGGAAGCTGGCTAGGATCTTGTTTTCTCTCTTTCGCCTTTCTTCCTGGTTGAAAGAAGCCAGGGCTCTCTTCTCGTCCGCGCTGTAGATCTGGTTCTCTTTCCGCAGACGCACCGCTTCCATACGCCGATGCCTAACGAGAGAGAGGGTGGCCGTCAACGAACTATCAACACTCAAGGCATCAACTGGCAACAGAATATTTTCATTTCGGCCATTTCCATTCACCTCCAGCCCCTTACCAGCATATGGGAACTCTCTTTTTTTTTTTTTAATTGAAAATTTTATAAAAGTTTTACAATATAATTCCCCCCCTCCCCAAAACCCACTCTTCCACTCCCCTCTCCCTCCCCCCCATTTCCCAGAGCCAATCACAGGGTTAACAATAACCATACTCTATCTAACATTAATCAACTATTAGAATAACAAATCTATAACATCCTTTAACTCTCTTTTAAACGAATATACTAGTATTAAACACAATAATTATAACACCATATTAATAATTATAAATAAAAATAAGTAACCTATTATAACATATAAACTACATTAATACTCTAACATTTACTCAAAAACCAAATGAAATTTTTTAGTCCCATTATTTGCTCTCAATATAATCCATATGGGAACTCTTAAGAATGGTGTGGGAAGTCCCACTTAGAGCAGAGTTTCTCAACCTTGGCAATTTTGAGATGGGTAGACTTCAACTCCCAGAATTCACAGACCAGTTGTTGCCAAGGTTGAGAAACACTGAGACAGAATAAAAAGAGCTCAAATTCCTGAGTGGCGTGTCCCTGCCAAACCATGATTTTTGATTGGAGAGAAACAATGGAATTAAACAGAGGAGAGTATAATCGAGATTAGTTTTGATTCGGCAGTCTTCCTTATAACCAGGTATAAATTTAAGCAAGATCCAATCTATCCTTTGTTCTGAGATTGCCCCAGTACTTTGGGGGGGGGCAATCAGAACCAAGGCCAGCCCTTGTCCTTTGCAATATTTTTAACCGGGTCACTTACCTGCTGCCACTCATAACATAGCCAGATTTCTCAAAGGAAGCAATTTCTTCACTGGTAAGTCCTATTTCGCCTCTCCTAGGAATCCGCTTGCCCGCCTTTACGTACTCGGCCATGGCAGCCCCTTCACCGGGCAGCAAAGCGTGACCGTAGCTTCAGGGGAGAAAGAGAATGCCAATGTAAACCACAGCAACCACACACACACACACACACACCACAAAGGATCACTCTCCCTACCCACTAAGCCTGGTGTTGCAGCTCGGCTTCTTGTGTGCTGTACATCAGTGGCCCCCAACCTTTTGGGCACCAGGGACTGGTTCCACGGAGAGAGGTTTTCCCGCAGAGCGGAGGGGGGCTGATTTTGCGTGATGCCTGCATCCCACAGATGGGGCTTTGCTTGTTTGAGTGGCCTGGTTCCTGGCGTGCCGCGGACCGGTGCCGGTCCATGGACCTGGGGTCGGGGACCCCGTTGTACCTGATCTTTACCTACAACAGTTCTGCTCCCTCCTAGTCTATTATCAGCCTCACAGAACAGCACTTACTTCAAAGGGCGCTCGTCCTGAGAAGCGTGACTGATGGGAGCTTCTGGACCAATAAAATCCACGGCGTCTGTATTTTCTGCAATAGGCGGGAGAGAGAAAAACCCAAACCCATGAAGACTGAGGCAGTACAGGCAGTCCCTGACTTACGGCCGCAACTGAGCCCAACATTTCTGTTGTTAAGTGAGGCAGTGGCTTAATGAATATTGTCCCGTTTTTACGACTTTTCTTGCCACAGTTGTTAAACGAAACACCGCAGCTGGTAAGTTAGCAACCCGGCTGTTAAGTGAGTCTGTCTTCCCCCATTGACTTTGCTTGTCGGAAGGTCGCAAAAAGGGGATCGAATGAACTCGGGACGCTGCGACCGTCATAAATATGAACCGTTGGTCAAGCGTCTGAATTTGGATCACGTGATTTTGGGGCATGCTGCAACGGCTGTTAAGTGTGAAAAACGGCCATAAGTCTCTTTTTTCAGTACCCTCGTGACTTCAAATGGTCACTAAATGCACGGCTATAAGTCAAGGATCGCCTGTATACATCATTAATAAACAATAACGATAAAGCTCATTTTAGAAGACAAAACATACAAACACAAGCCAGACTGGAAAAAAGAAGGATATAAACATGTAAAAATATCTTTAAAGCAGCTAGCAATCTCCCAACGAAATGGGTTTTAAAACAGATGTCCCCAACCTGTGTGCCTTGGCAGCCTGGCTGGGGGGCGGGGAGGAAAGAGGGGAACTGGGCCCTGTGAGTGATGGGCAGCTTGACTGGTGCAAAAGGCAGGCCAGTGCACACATACAACTCAACTTCCACAAATTGAGCTATGCGGACTTGTGTGGCCCGGTTCCAAATTGGCCATGGCCCCATAGTGGGCTGCAGCCCAGGGGTTGAGGACCCATTTAAAAATATTTGGAGCTGAGTGCCTCTCTCTTAACCAAAGGGGTGCACTTCCCTTGATTTGAGTTAGCCCGCCCTCAGTGCTAACCACCTACTTGATCTCTCAATCCAGAGCTCCTCTCCACACTCAGCTCTCTCGTCCGAATCTTCGCTGCTCGAGTCACTGGAATCCTTCCTGCTCTTCTTATTCTTCTTTTTCTTGCTCTTTTTCCTAGTCAATGAGAGAGAGACCGTGGGAGAAGGGGAACGAGTGAAGGCAGAAGAAAGGAGTTAGGAAATGATACTGGTCGGTAGGCGGTGCTCAAAATTTGCAGAGATTCAGATTCTACTTTTGTATGAGCGAACTGTGCACGGGTAAATTTGAACCCTAATGAAAAAAAGCTTTTATTTTTATTTTCACTTTTTAAGCCTGCATTTTAACCTACTTTTAACCCATTTTTAAATCTGTTTTAACCCTTGTTTGACTTTTTATAATAGTCACAAGACTTTTTATAAAGGATATATACTGGAGAGGCTACCATTGTTTTACCTACATTTTAACAACTCTACAAGCCAGGAGTACCAAGAATTGGAAAAAGGAGAAAGAGACAGCGTGTTCACTCGGAAGCACAGAGTTCTTCCAAGCCACTGAAGCAGCAGAAAATGGAAGATTTTGCTGCAAATAGACAGTCTGCTCCAGTAAGAGAGAGACCGGATGAATTTGGAGAGCCAGTGTCAGGGAAAGAAAAACCAAGAATTACAAACAAGAATAAAGTACTGTGGTTACAGCATCGTCTGCAAATGGGCAATAATAAGTTAGGATCTCAAGCTTTTTTTTTCTTTCTAGCTGATATGAATATGGTTTTATGTTTTATTCGTTCATGTAGAATGGCGTTTTTCAAGCTTGGCCTTTCTTTTTAAGCTGGATAGACTTCCAACATGATGACTGGAGAATTCTGAGGGGTGTAAACCCACACATTTTAAAGGCATCAAATTTGAAAAATGGAACTAAATACTTTATTTGGCCAAGTGTGATTAGACACACAAGGAATTTGTCCCTGGTACCAATATAAAAATGCCAATATAGAACAAGTAATGTGGCATGCAGCCCAAACAAAATCCAGGGAATTCCACGTGATTCCTCTCTTTTGCAATCTTATAATTGTGCAGCCCTGGAGATATCTGGAAGTAAACCATCCCCGATACTTAAAAGGAATTTAACCTCAGGGATTAGGCTGAAGCAACAGACCATATCCCCCCTCTACAGTGTTTCCCAAAATATTAACAGCTGATATTAACAATTTCAAGAACGGAAAGAATTTAAGAACTGGAGGGAATAATTTGAAATCACATCAGGAGTCAAGAAAGGAAGGAAAACCAATTTAAAGAAGTTATCTCGTCAACAAGACAGGTTTTGACTTGTACTTTAGCAGTTAAAGGAAGAATGATATAATATTTACATACAGGAAGTAGGCAGATTATTTTAAAAAGAGTTCTTACTTTCTATGCTTCTTTCTCTTCTTCTTGGCTCTTCTTTTCTCCTCCTCACCTGAAGTATTACGTAGGAAAAAAGGGAGACAAGAAGGAAACCTCAAAACCTGATTATGTTTCTAAGAGATAAAAACTAGCACACAGGAGTAACTAGACTATGGGGACCGAATCAAAAAGAATTAAGATGCAAATCTCTAATTCTGTTGCGAGTCTATAACTGATACTTACGCGCTGCAGCCTTTTTCTTCTTTTTCTTTTTCTTTCTTTTCTTCTCTTCCTCTAAAAAAATAATATGTGTTTTACAATCAGAGAAATGATTCATTCTAATATGTCGATTCTTAGCCATCCAGGCAGAATTCTCTGGAAGTTGGATTTATTTTTAATAAATAAATAAATCTGGTTGCCATGACTCAACTTCCAAACAATTCATTCTAATGTGCTTCCTCCTGAAATATGATCCACTGATTGTCAGTTCCAGAGGTGCAAGACATAGTTTACAGGCAGTCCTCAACTTACGACCGCAATTGAGCCATTTTGAGCCATTTCTTAAGTGAGTTTTGCCCCATTTTGCAGCCTTTTTGCCACAGTTGTTAAGTGAATCCGGCTTCCTCATTGACTTTGCTTGTCAGGAGGTCCCAAAACAAGATCACATAGCTCCGGGACACTGTGACCGTCATAAATGTGAGTCAGTTGCCAAGCGTCTCAGTTTTGATTATGTGACCCTGGAGATGCTGCAACTGTCGTATGAAAAATGGTCATAAGTGACTTTTCTCAGTGCTGTTGTAACTTTGAACGGTCACTAAACGGACTGCTGTAAGTCGAGAACTGCCTGTAAGTACCCCTCTTTTTTAAAAAAACTTTATTTCAGAGCAATATAGGGAAACAGATTGTTGCCGCAAAAAGCAACATCACGCTGAAACCACATCTACAGTTTTAAGAGAACACATACTGTTCCCGAGTTAAGAAGTCGCGATCTGGAATTATTTTGGAGAATTGCAGAAGCGCCATTTACAAATTGAAAGTAAAATGAGTTTCCCACAGATATGACAGATGTAGTTAAGTTTCAGCTTAAACACATCGTAATACCTTCTGAGCTGGATTCGGAGGAGGTGCTTTTTTTAGATGATCCTTCTTCGTCTTCTGCGGGAGTATGTTCGTCAGAGCTAGATTTAAAGGCAGAAGATAGTCTTAAGATTTATGAACTAAAGTGCCCAAGATGAAATACAAATGTAACTTAAATTAAATACAAGTTTTACTCTGGCTCAGGAAGTTTTGGTGAGAATCCCCAGATTTCAGGTGCTCCTAGTTCGCCTATTCGTTCTCTCTCATTTAGTCGTCTGTAAAAAAAAATTTTTTTTAATAGAACTGCAGAAAAATGAAATCATCTTTGACTAATAAAATGAGAGCAAATCCCTCCCCCTTCTAGCACTGATGAGGTTGCCTAGTTGGGCAATGAAACATCTGCAAGAAAACCGCCAGGCTCAAAGAGCATCAAGGACCCCTCAATAATATTATTAGCCCCTCCATGATTTTCCATGTCATGGGTATTATTATTATCAATAATAATAATAATAATAGTAGTAGTAGTAGTAGTAGTAGTAGCAGCAGCAGTAGTCAGATATTACTGACACAGAACTTTCCCAGTGAATTTTCCCAGTGATTATGCATTACATCATTATTCTAGCAATTATGCAGACACATCATTATTCTAGTTATGCAGACAAATCATTATTCTAATAATTGTTCATTTTACTACATTAGTAGTAGTAATAGAGTCCTTGGTTAGGACTTGAACTGTTAAGTTTTTACCAGTCACAGACTGTCGGCAGGCCCAGAGGAAGAGAGAGAGGCTTTTGGAGGAGTTGGTGGCGGTGGCAGCGTGCCCCAGGGGCAAAAAGAAGCAAGGCCTCTTTAAGAAAAAGCTGGAACAGTCAGGATCAGAAAAAGGAAAGGAGGCGAGGTTGTCGTGCAGGAATACAAGCTAATTTGAGGGCTAATCCACATAGAGCTCCATTTCCATCTGTCCTGTTTGCCATTGTTCGCTTCCTAAGACTAAAATGGACGACCTGAAACTTGAGCTGGCCAAGGAATGTATATCGGAGGTGGTGACCCTTTGAGAGCTGTATGCAATGAAATTTCATTTTGATGTATGCTGATTGGCACATTCAAAGTGACAATAAAGTTGTTGTTATTATTATTATTATTATTATTATTATTATTATTATTATTATTATTATTATATCAAATTGATTAAATCAATAACAACAATAATGACTCGATAGGTAGACAAAAATGCCAAATCCAGTCTGAACATCTGGCTGACTGTGCGATGATCAATAATAATAACAATAAGTAGTACTTGGTTAAAACTTTAACTGTTAAAAAAAGTTTTTACCAGTCCCAGTAAATCGAACTGAAGATTAAAATAAATAATAATGAATAAATAATGAATAATATATGTTATAATATAAGCAGCAGCAGCAGCAGTAGTAAAGGGTAAGTAGTAGTAAGGAGGACCCAAAGGCCAAAGCCAGACTAAACATCTGGCTGACAGCGAGACCGACCATAACAAGAACAACAACGGTTCTTAACCCCACGAAGCCGGCCCAGAGCCGAGCCCGACCACCCCGCGGCCGCCACTCGCCTCTGCCGCAGCGACTCCTCCTGCTCCTTGCCGTAGTGCTCCGGGTCGTGCCGGTAACCGAAGTGGTGCGGGCGCCCCAGCCGCTGCCGGAAGCCGTTGCGCTCCCGAGAGCGAGACCGGCGGCTGCGGCTGTGCCGGGATGGGGAAGGGCTGGCCGAGCCGTTGTCTCGTCCCCGACGGGAGCCCGGGGAGTCCGCGGGGCTCCGCGAGCGCGACACCATGGCTTCTGCCGTTTGCTGCGCGACCAGGCCGCGGCTGCCTCTGTAGGCCCCCACACGGGGGCTTCCTGTTTTCTGACGTCACTTCCGGAAGGCGCCATGCTCTTTTTAAGAAGAGTCACTTCTTGCCGTAGAGGTACGAAAAAGGTAGAGAGGCGTGCAAGACTTCGCTTCCGGTGCCGCTGAACGCTGTCTCGCAGCTTTTGTGACGGAGATCCGGTTTAGTCAGCCTGTAGACTGGATCTCTTTACAAGGGCGTTTCTTTCGCAAGATCCGGAGCACTTCGGAGCCTTTCCCTTCAGAGGACAAGCCCTCCGACGGCCCTTCCGCGTGCGGCACTGCTGAAAAAGAAAACGTCCGCCCGTTTCCCCTTCCCCCGTCACCCACTTCCGGCCCCGTGATCCGCGCCCGGCCATTCGACCTTCACCTCGGACCCTTCCCCCTCTTCAAAACAAAGCCATCCGGACTGCTTGGCGGCCTCCCCGGCCCTCCGTCGGCGGGAGAAAAACCGCCTCCGCCCGCCACTTCCGGTCCGTGCGCGTTCTCTTTCGGTCCGGCTGGCTCCCGGGGCGGCTCCCCGGAGTTCCGCAAGGCGGTTCCTTTGTGCTCGGATGGGCTGCCGCCGGTGAGAGACGATGGAGCCTGGCGCCATGACCGAGGCGGGCGGCAAGACTCCGGGTAAGAGCCGCGCCGTCCTCGGCTTTCTTCGGGCGCCCGGGAGCCGGGAAGGGAGACCTGGCGGAGCAGCGATGCCGGCCCGGCCTTGTCGCTGGAGGGCGGCGGACGCGGACGCGTGGCCGGGCCGGGCTTGGCCCTGGGTTCCCGCTCAGCCCCGCTTGGGCCGGGCTGGGCCGGCTCCCCTTGCTGCCAAGCGGGCGAGAAGGCGACCGGGCGAAAGAGGCTGCTCTCTCCGGCCAAGCCCGGGGTCTTCTCCCTCTTCCCTGCCCCTCCAGCCCGGGTGGTTGCGGTGGTTGCGGTGGCCCCGCAGTTGCGCTGCCCTCCACCCGGAGCCTCCTGGATGGGAAGAGGGCTGGGTGGCTCCTGCACGATCCCCAAGAAGCCTTTGGAGCCTCGGGCCAAGTCGCTTTATTTTCAGCACTCTTTCCCTCCCCGAGAAGAACGGATCCTATTGGGATCCCGTAGGAGCGATCCTATTCACTTAAATCAACCTATTAAATTAACTTCGGCTCGGAGACGCCGCAGCAGAGATGAAATTCCTCTTTTTTTCTGCTGTTTTGACACCTGCTGGAGCCGTGGAGGGGGCGATCTTTTCAGAGCGCTGGGGAGGGGGGGGTGTCTAACCTCAAATCGTCATTAGTGGATAGAAACTTTGCTGCAATATATAAAAGGGGCTCCACCTTATCCTTTATTTTATTGGCCCGATTTCTACAGCTGCCCATCTCCCACCAAGGGGAGGCTGGGCATGATCCAAATAGCAATTAAAACATTAAAAGCGGTGGGCATGAATGAAAAAGCAAAATCCCCGGAGGGAAGATATTAGATATAATGCAAGTCGGAGCACAGGCGCTCCCTTACTAGAATTATTTAGCCGAATTCTTTAATCCACATAGGCTGGGCCGGTTTTGTGGTTGAGAATAACTGTAGAAAACGGTTCCCCCCGCCCGGGAAACACGGTGTTGTTTTTTCCGGGGGTGGGGGGGGGGAAATACATTGCTTACTTACGCACTCCGGGGAGAGCATCACAATTTTAGTGGCGGACTAAGACTTAAAGCTGACTTAAGTTAATCGGCCATGGAAACAGGAGAGCCTTTCAAATGGGAAATGCCCATCTTCTCACGCTGGTAAAACTACTGGCTAGAGATCCTCAAAGGGAGATGAAGGAGCAAGGTAAAAGAATTCTCAGTGCTTTAACCAGAGCTGTTTTTAAAGATTACTGGGTCGCCTTTGATATGCTAAGCCCCGGGGGACTACCGGTATCAAAAGCAATTCACACAAGTGGCTTTAAGGCACTTTCCCTTTTGCTCCAAGCCCCTTTAAAGACGCAACAAGAGATACGTGTACCAGCGTTTTACGCTTAAGGGTTCAGAGTGTGCAAATCTAGACTACTGGGTTCATTTCAAGCTAGGGCCAACCCGTATATTCTTGGAATCTGTAAA